GACACATGGTCTGAATTGGGAAAACATTACGCCCAAGAAAAAGAGGTCCATAAAGCAAGGAACTATAAAACGAAAACTGTTACAAGTGGTATCTTTGAAGAAGGRATACAAAGAAAAGATAATTTACCATTATCCACATTACTATATTAAAAATCTATCAAAATAAATGGCCAAAAAATATTAACTGCACTAAAAAAATTAAAACATACAAGTAACCTAGATATGCACATTCGTATTTCTCTACCACTAGTGAGAAACAGTCGACTGTAGAGGGATGTGATTGTAAAACCTTGCTTCAGACATTAACCCATATTACTGTGTGGACACACCGTTAACTGGGACCACTTGATCAAGATTTGAAATAAAAGGACTTTAACCAATCAGGAGAGAGCAAAATCAGAATCATATTGACATCAGCCAATCACAATCACTCATTCCCACGGTTGTTTTTCACAGATATCTAGGCTTCGTTGCTTGCTGCCGATTGGTTCAAGTTTGATTTCTTTGTTTTCACTCTATGTCGTGATTGGTTAACTTTCTTCACGTGGTCCCGGTTCAGTGTGTCACACGGTAACGAGGCCCAATTAAATCGCTCGTAAAAATATTCCCTTTTTCCCTAAAAATTGAAGTTTTTGCAATTGGAGACAAAGATAGTAAATCTATATTTATAAAAGTTTGATAAGAAATTGAATAACTTTGTAACTAAAGATTCTCTTCATTTTTCATCTTTTTCTTTTAATTTATTTTAATATCTAATCTTGTCTATCTTATAACTCATCACTCTCTGGTGGTCTTTTATGTTTAATAGCAGATGTTAGTTACACACTCCCCCCCCCCCCCCCCCCCCCAATAGCAGATATTAGTTACACTTTATTTGTTTCCAATGATCGTTAAATATGGGTCATAATGACAGCCGTATCGTTATCAATTGTTCAAAGCCAATAGAGTGTAACTCTAATGTCTGGTGTTGCTCGTCAAATCCTGACTCTATCTTGATGTTTAGAGTGGCAGTGAAAATGAAGAGTATGCTCAATGGTAACGTTTGGCTTTGGGATCGCGGTAAATTCATGAACAGAAGGTTTTTAATCCAGGTAAAATAAACCATTCTCTCATTTAAATATAGTCAATGATAAATCATTATAGAATGCATCCGTGAAAAACTTGTAAAAAATTGCACAAATTAGTAAGTTCAGTAGACCTCAGTAGACCGTAGACCTACAAAACTTTGCACACATTTGCACAAATTAGTAAGTTCAGTAGACCTCAGTAGACCGTAGACCTACAAAACTTTGCACACATTTGTACAAATTAGTAAGTTCAGTAGACCTCAGTAGNTTCAGTAGACCTCAGTAGACCGTAGACCTACAAAACTTTGCACACATTTGTACAAATTAGTAAGTTCAGTAGACCTCAGTAGACTGTAGACCTACGAAACTTTGCACACATTTGTACAAATTAGTAAGTTCAGTAGACCGTAGACCGTAGACCGTAGACCTACAAAACTTTGCACTATGCAAGGCACGAAACATTTGCACTCTGTGTCATGTTGCATGAGCGCAAAGAAGGGGGAAGGCGACAGCTCCCCAACAAGTTTGACTAAAAATCTTAATTTTTGTTTTGTTGGGCTACCTGTGGATTTGGCGGGAATTTTCGCTCCAAAACGCGTGTTCTTGCAATTTCAGCTTTGGTACTTACGTCACTGTCTTGTTGAACATATATATACCCCATTATTTTCACACACACAAAATGTTTATAATCAAATATTTGATGAAATTAATACTAATATTACTTATGGTTTCTCTGTAGGAGATGTACCAGAAGTTTATGGATGGTGAAGATGTATCGAAGATCCCAAAAGAACAGGATCCATTCTGGGAAGACGTGGAGGATGTGTTGATCGGCACAGCAAACCTGTTCCTGCAGAGTCTGGGGTTTGCTTTGGACTTTGATGACAAGCTGACTGTAACAGATTACAAGGTAGAAAAAAACCTGATTTATTGCACCCTGAAAATTACTTTTAGTTAAGGAGGAAGGGAATAAAAGACGTCATAGTGTTTTCCGAATTCAGTCCACGTGTAATTTGAGAATAAGATTCTTTGTTTGAGTTCGGACTCAGATAATAGCGAACCATTCACCGTTGCAGCAGTTTTCCCAGTGGAAATAAAATCTTGTCCCACAAACAACTACACAGTATCTGTTTTAGAGAGTACTACGAGGATGACGAGACGAATTTATTTTATTTTCTCAGGAAAGCGAATAATTGAAACGATTTATGATCAAATTTCCGCGAACGGAGTTTTAATTTCTGATATATTCAAAACAATTTGTTAAGCTTGTGGGATATAGCAACGGTAACTAAGGATAGTGGGAACCATGAATAGAGAAGACACAAACTTGGAAACTTATTCCTACCCTTCCCCTCCGCTCCCCGCCCCCCCCTCCACAGATGATATTATTTTACTGATCCGCTTTACTTTTCGTCCAGGGCTCGGAAGAAGCCACGTTGGTGGTGAACGTGACTCCATGTACCCAGACAGGAAAACCTTTAGACGAGGACAACTTCGTGGAAAATCCATCAGAATTACTTGACAAACCTTATCACTTTAAGGTAACGCAATCCATCAGAATTACTTGACAAACCTTATCGGTTTAAGGTAACGCAATCCATCAGAATTACTTGACAAACCTTATCGGTTT